GCGAGAAAAAGCCTCCCATGGGATACATTTATGCGGCTATAGATAGGGCTAAAAAAGCCATTGCAAAATCATTTGGGGGAGTAGAAGATAAATACTCAGATATTTTTGAAATAATTGATAAGAGGTGGAATGTTCAACTTCATCGCCCTTTGCATGCAACAGGTTATTATTTGAACGCAAAATACTTTTATTCAAATCCAAAAATTGAAGAAGATGAAGAGATTACAAAGGGTTTGTATGCATGCATTGCAAGGTTAGTCCCGGATGCCAAAGACTAAGACAAAATTACTGAGGAGCTGTCCTTATATTCTAAAGCTGAGGGCCTCTTTGGTAATCCCTTTGTTATTAGACAGAGAAGTACACGAGCACTAGGTAAAGTGGTAAAGTATATTAAGTTAGTATAGCTAAGTGTTAAAATTATTTTGACAATAGGGTCGATAGAAAGATAAAGCTAAAGTTGCTAAACATCATTATTAATTCTTTTTAATAACTAATTAGTGGGAAGCTTATGGCAAGTCAACAAAACTTCTCCAAAAGTTTGCTATAAAGGTTTTAAGCCTTACTTGTAGTTCTTCTGGTTGTGAACAAAATTGGAGCGTGTTTGAGCATGTAAGTATATACTATCTACTAACTAGGTTTGTAATTTAATTGTTGAAAATTAAAATTTTAATTTATTATACTTACTAGTTAAAGTTGAATTTATTGCAGCTTCATAACAAGAAAAGAAATAGGCTCGCTCAAACAACTTTGAATGATTTAGTGTTCATCAAATATAATAGAGCATTGAGGCGTCGATATAATATGCGTGACACTCTTGATCCCATTTTACTCGATGACATTGATGAGAGCAACGAGTGATTGACGGGGAGGATGGATGATTCTGATACAGAACATGATCTAGTCTTTGAAGATGATTCCTAAACATGGGGTGATGTTGCTAATTTTGCTGGTATTGGAGAGGCTAGCAGGCCGCAACGGTCTACTAGATCAAAATCTAGTTCTAGTTCACGGTTACCAACAAAGGGAGCAGGTGGATGAGGATGATTCAAATGAGATAGAAGAGGATCCTGAGAATTATGAATCATTTAGTGACGATCAAAATGATCTTATGCTTATTGGTTGGTGTTGTCTTCTTAGAAAGAAATGATGTTTATGTTTGTTTTAGTTTTATCTCATACTTCTCCTTAGTTGACTTTTGCATCTTTATGTTAATATGTTTAATTATTCACTGTTGAACTCAAGTACTTGATTTACTTGGTTTTGGCATCTTTATGTTGAATATTTAACTTAAGTAATTCATTTAGTTGACTTTTACATCTTTATATATATTATTGCATCTTTAATACTTTATTGGGTGGGTTTTGTTTTTTTTTTTTTTCCCAACGTGCTCCTTGCTTCAGTCGGGTGCGCGCCTCGCCTTGCGCCTCAGGCTCCAGGAGGCATTTGCGCTTTTGTGCGCCTTGAGCCTTTAACAACTATGCTTGGCTGTACAGTTCGCACTTTATGGGAATCGGCGCCAATTTGCACCCAAATTTCTAACTGAACTGGTGAAAGTTTTTTAAAACTGGGATGCCGATATTGAGAATGGAATCGGCTAGATATATATTCTTGTCGATCCTGTTTTTCTGTCTTTACATGACTTCTGCTGGAATTACCTTGTCGAGGCTCTTCACCGGGCTTAATTGGGAAAGTAAACCTCTCAAGAATTCCCTTCTTCTTTGGTTGAACCTCCATTGGCTCTTTTTCCTTAGGTTTCTGCTGCCCTTATAACCATGGTCTATCAAGGCCAATTGAGCCTCTCTTAGTTGTCTCTGCAACTCTGCCATCTTTTCTGGTGTCACACTTGATGAAAGAAACTCATTTGAGATCTTCTCAACCTCTTGCCGATTTTCTTGCTTAGCTAAGCTTATCACATTAGTCGATGTGATTGTAGGAAATAGATTGGTATCCACCTTCATGGTATCTGATGTTTTCTCCGAAAATTTGAATGTACCTTCATCAATAGCTTTCTACAACACACCTCGTAGAACAGTACAATCATTAGTAGCATGGTTCCAAGAGTTATAATACTTACAATACTCTTTTCTTTTGAGGTCACTTGCCGATGGAATCTTATGCCCTTTAGGCAAAGAGATCATTTTATTGGCTATCAAGTGATCAAAGATTTGATTTATTTTTGATAAGTCAAAAGAATAGATTTTTCCTGTATCAGCAACTCCTTTCCTTGTTGTTGAGGTTGATGTTGCATTGCCCCCAGTGGTCGGCTTAGGTTTAATCAATGCCTTACAGATATAAGGCTTCTTGATATTGACCTCAGCAACGTCAACTTCTAACTCATCACCAATTTCTGCCAAGAACACCTCATAATTAGGGTCTTTATAATAAGTACCATTAGAAGAATTCTTCCTTTCTTTCTCTTCTTTAAGTATCTCATCATACTGAGTGGCTCTGTATGCTAAATCGAAGAGATCTTGGAATTCAACCCCATCAAACCTTTTGTGATGTTCAATGTCAAAACCATTTAATGCCAACTTAATATATTCTGCTTCAAGCAAACTTACTCGGCACTTAAGCTTGGCTTTTCTGAATCTGGCCACGAAAGTTTCAACCGATTCGCTCGGCAACTAGGATAATCGAGATATATCTGCCAGCATAGCTTCTATTTCTGTTCGGTAAAATTGGATATGGAAAGCTTCTTCCATTTCATCCCACGTCTGAATAAAATTGGCTGGTAAATTGCTGCACCATTCAAATGCCGCCCCATTCAAATGCCGCCCCAGCGAGAGAGCTAGAGAATAACCTTATCCTCAACCAAGGATTGGGACCTGCTTCTTAGGGATGGCAATTTCCTCCAACCCGCTGGGTTTCTGCCCCGCTCCGCTCCTAATGGGGCGGATTTGGCAGCTCCATAAATGGGTTTGGGACGGATATGGTAAAAGAATTGAAAACCCGAACCGGGTTTGGGGCGGGCGCGAATTTAGTGATGCCCCCACCCCACCCCCGCCCGGCCCCCGCCCCGACCCCGATATTATATATATATATATATATATATATATATATATATATATATATATATAAAGTATATATTTAATTTAAGTGTCCATTAATATATTTTGACTAAATATTCGCTAGAATTACTACTTACTAAAATTCTACAATTGTGCACGTGATTCAATCTTCAAAGATTCAAGATCTTAGTATTCTATCCCAAGTCCAGGAATTAATTCAATAGTGCGGGGTGGAGTTGGTATTTTGTCTACCGGAGTAGGGGCGGGGATGGTATACCAATTATAAACCCGCCTCAGAGTTGGAGCGGAGTTGGTATGACGAATTTTTTAATGGGGCGGAGTAGGGTTTAGCCAACTCCATCCTAACTCCGCCCTATTGCCATCCCTACTGCTTCTCCACATTGTGCTGTGAACCTCATAATATGCTGCACCGTAGAAAAGATTTCTTCACCACTGTACATAGAAAAATCGGGATACCGATAATTTCTAAGTTACTCATGGATATCGACATGAACAGGATAAGGCTTCCTGTACACTGGCCGGGCACGTCTGCGTCCCTGTGCTACCTCGGCCTGTATTAAGGCTAGAATCTGAGCCCTATCGATCCTCGCATTTTGCCTAGAAGATCATTTGGGTGAAGTGGAACAAATGGGTTAACCTATTCTCGTTGTGAATTTGTATTTACATGCCCCCCGGCAGCCGCCGATATACCAGCACAGTAGTTATTGCCAACGGATCTAATAATATTGGTGGATTACCAATCGACATGCCGATAGTAGGGTTCGGCACATTGTCGATTATGATACCGAAAGTTGTGTTTGGTGGTACGATGCCTGCTGATGCTGTTTGAGGTCCCTGAGATATATGTATCAATGGTACCGAAACACGTTGAAATATGGATTCATTAGCGTGGGATGTTTTAGCTTGATCATGTCGGCTTTGATTAGCCGATATTTGAGCTTCAAATCTCTGACTCAACTTATCTATTTTAGCAAACATCATTTGATTTAACTCTCCGATCATTGACTTCATCTCATGTATTTGAGAAATCAAAATTTGATTCGACTCCCCCATTTAGGACTTTACCTTGCCCATTTAAATTTGTTGGCCATCTATTTTCCCCATGATTGATTCCAATACCCGACCCAAAGGAACGTCGGATGGAACAGAAGAATCGGCTTCATTAGATTTGCCTATGCCGATTTACGGGTTCTCTTCTTCAGTGTTATCACCTGTAACACCTTTCGAATTTCTTAGCCTGGGAGGCATAGTTACTATAATTTACTCACCTAGTGGGGTCCCACCGAGTGTGCCAAAAATATTGATGCTAAAATCGACTCCTTAAATCCGATTCTAAATTGATGTGTGCGGGCCTGCCATAACCAATTATATGGTTCAAGTGTAAATTGTCAACTTCAGTCCCTTTGAGAAGGTTGACTTTCAGGCGATTGCAAGAAAAAAAGGGAACAGTAAAACTTCTCTTTGAGTTCAGAATTGTCTTAATTAAAAGGACTTTAACAATGAATAATTATAGTAAAATATTGAGATAATAGAAAGGGGAGAGAAATAGATATAGAAAAAAATAGAGAGAGATTTTGAGAGAAAGATAGAACAAGATATTGAGAAAGGTTGGGAAAGAAAGAGATAGAAATAGCAGATGGAAAACCTTGCTCATCCTAATATGCACGCGTTTCTATTGCCTAAGAAGAGGGAGCTGGAGGCGCTTCCTTAAAAGATGGCTTTAACCAAACCCAATGCCACCGAACCTATGGCTTGACAGCTGCTAGACAACTTCTCTAGCGTAGGTAACCACAAGGTTATGAGCCTGGCTTGCTATTAATGGATGGCTTGGAGTTAACTGCTATGCCCTTATCAAAGTGACTCTCTCGTTCAGTTACACAATAAGGAGGGAGGCGGAACGAGGAGAGGGCTCGACAATCATACCAACCGCTGTCGAAAAAGCGTGTTCCCTTCATATAACACGGCACCGTAGGCCATCCTTAACCTAAGGATGCTTTTCTGGAAAATGTTTGAGAAAGCAAACAAAATAATATAATGATTCTGAGGGTATTGGATCCTTATCTCAGCATGCCTCTTTGATTATTTATAGAATAAAACGTTAACAAAAACCTATACATAAACATTCTAATTACATCAAAACTCTATCAAATAACTAAATACTGTTTTCAAATAGTAACTTTATCCTATAGATAAATATTATTATGCAAATAAATTAATTAATTGATATCTATTAGTAATCTACTCCTTATCTATTTGTTACTTCATGTTATCCAAACCAACTCTATTTGTTGCACCTTTAAACATAATCCATGCAGAATTAAATTCTCATTTAACTGAAACATCGCTGCAACCCCAATTATAGTCCAAATAAATTATCTGATCCATGTTGCATGATAAAGTTCTTCAGCCCAATTTAATTACTGCACATCTTCAGCCCAGTCTCTTCTCACGGCCCAAACCTCTGCCACGTCATTGTACTTCAAGCCCAATTGTAGTCCAAGCCCTGCCAAAATGGGTGTCAATACTGATACACCGTTTCTCTACTTTTTGACCAAACCGACTTTTTGACTAAATTAATTAATGAATAATGTAACAAGTAACCACAATTATACTCTATTATTGATTAAAAGAAAGAAAAATTATTAAATAGTAGTAATATATTTATTTTTTTAAAAATAGATCGGAGTTGTGTGATTAGTGAAGATCATCTCATATCAAAAAATAGAATAATTTTTCAAAAAAAATCTTTCCGTTAATATGTATATTTATAAAACAACTAATACTAAAAAAACATACCAAGGTCCAGAGCATCGACGCGGAGGTAAAAATCTTGTCCATCTTCGGTGCGATTGTACTGTTTAATATCATTTAACTCACCAAACCATGCAAAGCAACCGCGTCCCCCAACATTGGCATCGGCACTGGCATACCCCGTGCAGTTACACTTGTTCAAGCACTCCCTTTCGCATTCTTCCAAGCTCACATTCTTATACAATTGGCATACCTTAGCGTCCGGAATCTTCAAACCTGCTAGTTTTATAATTCCTTCACCAACACCCTTTCCAGATGTGTACGATTGCTTCTTCTCCACACAATTTAGGAACCAATCTCGAGGGGACTGCGGTTGGAACCCAGGCAAACAGGTGCACTGCATCGTGTTGTAATTGTTGCATATGGCTGAAGCCCCACACCGGGAGTATTCGTCGCAACTATCTTGCGAACCCACAAAAAAAACCCAATCTTTGGAATCGGTTCGCCATATTGCCCGAAAGACTGATCCCACCGGTAATAGCACAAGTCTTTGAAATGTTGAAGTATTTGGTACTGAGATTGAATAATATACCTAACAATTCCATCATAATGGTAATGGTCTTTGGTGAGTTAGTTTTGCAATATTTTTGCCCACATGAGTAAAAAAAGAAAAACCAAAAAAATAATATACCTAACATTTGCATGATAATAATGGTAATATTGCCCACATGAGTGGAATTAGCCTAAATGAGTGAAAAAAAGAAAAACGAAAATAGATTGGAACTATGGGAATCCCATTCAGTGTCCTACCGTTCCATGGCCCCGCCCGCCAGATCGGAGCCGAGTTCTTGTATCAACCGCCAGTGAGAAATCACCCGGTGCCGTGTCATTCTCAGACCTCCAAGATGTCAGCACCCGGTTGAGACCGCTTCTCCGGTCCAACCCCAATTTCATTCCCTGCAAAAGCGTAGCAGTTGGGTAATCAAAGCTTTGCCATACAACAACCGTGTGGGCGTGGCTGGAACCGTTTGTTTTGGTCAGAACCAAATTGCCCGAAGGTAAGAGCACGGCGGTGGAATTGGTAGTAATTGACGACACATTGGTAGACCAGACCGGTAGCCCTCTTTCGTCGCCGGTGTCGAAGACGGCGATGTTGCCATCATCGTGGATCTTGAAAACTCCAGTTTTGTTTTCGATTGGGGTGACTCTATTGGCGACCCAGACAAAAGTAGGTTCGTAAACTTTGTTGAACCAAATACCAAGGTACCGGTTGTTAGACTTTCCGGGGCTGAAGAAGCCCAGTTTGAAGTTGCCATTGGAGGACACAAGCACTGCCTTCTTAGCGTCGGAGATGAACCGGTCGCGGGTTACGGTGTCGGTAGTAGTGTATGTGACGGAAGAAAAGTAATAGAGTGAGCAGAGTTACACCGTAACTTATCTCGAACTCCATGAAAAGTGTGATTAGGAGGATAGCAATAATCGCCCGTGACCTTTCTATGGTTTTGCAATAATATCTGCATTGTATGCTGGCAAGGACACAGGTGCAGGTTGAAAAAGAGGTGAAAGAGATATTTTGGGCTATATAATTGATTTGCTCACGAAGGTTATTTTTTTTTTGAAAAATATGAAGTCGTGATGAACAATTTATTTGAGAAAAACGTATGCATAACCTAAAATTTGGTAAAGTTGGAATTAGTCAAATTGACTTTTTAATCTTACAAAAATTGAAACAAATTTGTATTGAAAGAACATATTTTATTTATGAAAAATGATTCTTGCGACTTATAATTGAATTGCTAGATTTATTATTTTTAATTAGTCATTTGGACAATAAATAAGAAAATAGAACTTCTTACTTAATTGTATTTAATATAAATAGTCAATTAAAAATTATAGTACAAATGTTCAATGTGAATACCACAATTTTTCATTTAGATCTTTTATTCCTATTAGTGATTTCAGTTTTCCACTATTTTAATAGTCTGAGACTACGAGTAAGATGCGAATAAGTGAATTTGTAATGACTGATGCATATAATTCATTTAGTACTTTTTGTGACAAAAATTTTAGAAACAAAATTTATTTTATACTTAAAAATAATTTAGAGACGAAACACTGATTCCTCTTTATTTGTGTATGCTTAAGGGACGAATTGAATAATTCGTCGCCGACTGAATGTATATATAATTGTCATTGAATACTTCTGATCATTAGAGGAAGACATCAAAGGAATTCGATCTAGAAGTTGCAGAAATACTATTTTCTTTACATTTATATTGTATCGGATTACTGATTAGTTAGTTGGTGAGGCTGTATCTTACAAAGATCATAATCAGTAGTTGGAGTCCCCCAGATTCATCCAATTGCTAGTGAGTTTGATATGATTACTTCAGTTCTAGATGTTTCTATGTAGTTTGGCTTGGGCCATGTTGTAATTGGACTCCTGGCTCTAGCTTCCGCGTGTTGTATTGTTGTTGGGCTTTAGGGCATGTTTGGGAAGTTATTATAATTTATACTATTATTTTTTTTATATTGATATTTAAATTTAGGCTCATATCATATTTGAGACGACTGATATTAGTTTGAAATAGTTCATAACATATCAAAATTTTCGGCCAAAACCTATATCACCAAATTTCCAAATTTTCCAAAACAAATTTTTGTTACCAACTATAGTTCCGATTTTTATTCCAAACACTCCTACAACAAAACAATTATTTTGTTATTGACAAAAAAAACATAATACCTAAAATACATCACATGCCAAACGGGCCCTTAGCCTTTGTGCTTTTATTTTTGTTGGTCCCGGGCCTCTCTTCATCTAAAGCTGATGGCCTCTAATCCTATTTTCAAGAGCGAAGCTAGGATGTTGAGGTTGGGGGACCAAAATTATAATCAACATTACTTAGCTTAAATTTTTGAAAAAAAAATATTTTATTATTTATTATATTTATATAAAAATATATCTATCTAAACTTTTGTCAATTTATTTAAGCTCGTCAATCCAAACTTGCCCCATAACCTTTTGCCTCCCCACGTATTAATGGCTATTATCAGTCAATGGTCAATTGGCTTGCAACTGGTGACCAATTAAAAAGCTCCTTATTTTTCCACAAATGCTTTGGTAAATCCAATCAAGTTAGCTCGTCAGTCCCTCTTATACATTTATAGATTTATGGTTTTTTAACTTTTTCTAATTCAATCGTCAATTTTGACATCTAAGGCACTATTAATACTTTTCTAATTCCATAATATACATTAAAGATGCAATTGTGAAATTATATAAACAATCTTACTCATAAATTAGAATTTTAAATCTGTTATAAGAAACTAAAAACATAATATATGATCTTTAATTTATATTTCAACAATTTACATTTTAAAACATATATGTTGACAAGGTCACAATAATAATAAAAAAAATATGAATTTACAAGGAATAGAGAACATGTATAAAGATGAGTTTCTCAATATTTATAATTAAAAAAAAAAAAAAAACATTTGTAATTAGAAACAACATAATTCATATAGAATTTTCAAAACATAAATAACTAAATAATAAAAATTAAGAATAGAAATCAACCATTTGCATTTAATCAAAAGAGAAAAGAAAAGAAAATAACAAGATATAATAAATTAAATAGGAAAGAATTGGCGTAGATAACACAAAATTGTTAGCCGTTAATAGTTTTTAAAATACAACTCATATTCATTAATGATCTTTTTCTCTTTGGAGATGTCTAAAGACTATAAAAGTCTATCTTAAAAAAAAAGTATGTCTACCTAATGAAATTTCCACAAAGAAAGTATGTCTAGATCAAAAGAAACAGTGTTGCATTTTCATCAGTGGTTGCATTTTCATCAGTGGTCTTTTTCGCTTCGGATATGTCCAAAAGACTATGAAAATCTATCTTCAGAAAAAAAGTATGTGTACCTTGATGAAATTTCCACAAAGAAAGTACGTGTCAAAAGAAGAGTAATGGCCAGGCTTAAAATTTCCACAAAGAAAGTTTGTCTCAATCAGAAGAAATAATGTTGCATTGCAGCCATAGAAGACTTTGATGTGCACCTTTCTTTTTGACGAAAGAAGAGATATATGTATATCATGTATGGGACCATAGCTGACTTTGAGGTGCACACCTTGACGTCTCCTGGTTTGATTTCCATTCATTGTGGTAACTGGTATAATTGTTAATGAAAATATATTAACATATTTTTGGATGATTAATTAAGGCATGTCACTGAATCAAATAAAAGTGTTATAAAGGGCACTCCTCTACAGTAAATGAATCATGATATACCCATATTGTAGTACAAAAAGGTATATTTTTAAAAAGGATAATTTTTTAGTGAGACGGAAAAAAGGAATGACGTAGCTAAAGTGACCTGATAATATAATATGTGAGAGAGAAAATCCATGTTCTTGTGGTAGACTTTTTATTTATTTTTTCCAAATTACTCATATTTGAGTTTGAGAAAATATTAAAAAGCATTGAGGTAAAAATTATAGGGTATTGAGGTAAAAATTAAAATTGTTGATAATAAATTTAAAAGATGTTAAGAATAAGATTAAAACTATTGAGAACAAAAATTAAAAAGTGTTGAGGTAATATTAAAGGTATCGAGAACAAGATTAGAGGGTGTTGAGAAAATATTAAAGGTGTTGAGAAAAAAAAAATAAAGATGTTAAAAATAAGATTAAAAGTGTTGAGAAAAATATTAAAAAGGTGTTGATAACAAGATTAAAGGTATTGAAAAAAAATATTAAAGGTGTTGAGGTGATTAAAGACCCACTCCATCACATGGTATGATATTGTCCATTTTGGGTCTGAGCCTGCACGGTTTTGCTCTTGGACTTTACCCCAAAAGGCCTCATATCAATTGGAGTGACACACCTATATATAAGCACTTCACATTTCCCTTTCCCAGACAATGTGGGGTGCACTCGTAACTCGCTAATATGGTAGCCTGTCAGTGTCTCGCACCCGCCCACGGCACACCCGTCCACAGGGTCATCATAGAGATAATGATTAAAAAGTGTTTAGAATACAATTAAAGGTATTGAGAACAAGATTAAATATATTGACAATACGATTAAAATGTGTTGAGAAGGATTTAATTAGGTATCTTTCCAAGCACAAGGGCTTAAATTGCTTAAATTTCAATTATATTTATCTCTACTTGTTTCATGTGTTAAAATTTTGAAAATGAATTTTTCTTGAATTTTTTTATCAACCGTTGCACAAATTGTTTTTCTTCTAGCAGAGGACTGTTGTTCCACTTTTCAATTTTACCTAACTAATCGCGCCTATTGTCTTTCACAAAGTAAATTCTCCGCTCCATGGAGCCAATGGTCCAATTTTAATTTTCAGCTGAAGAATTAGGAATTCGCAGCATTTTACCAGCATATTTGGACCCGAATCTGAAGACTGAAGCTCTAGCCACCGGTGTAAGCTTCGCTTCAGGAGGCTCAGGATACGATCCTCAAACACCTAAGTTAGTGGTACGAACATTTTTCAATAGATATTATAGGTACAACAAACATCTTTTTTAGTAAATTTTATTTTTCACTAATTTTATTTTTATTTTTTATAAATATATCAGTCAGTTATATCGTTATCGGATCAACTGAACATATTCAAAGAATAACCTCCCAAGGAGCGGGAACTGCCATTCTAACCCTTTTTAAAAAAAAAATACAAATGCTAATCAATTACGAATCATATATATAACATATATAATGAAATTCTTGTTCAAAAAATAATTTAATAATTAGTATTTACTTTCAAAACATTGGGCATTATCTTTTCAAAACAATGACAAATATTTGAAGTCAAAGTGACCTGATAATATAATATGTGAGAGACAAAGTCCATGTTTTTGTGGTAGACTTATTATTATATTTTTCTAGATTACTCAGATTTGAGTTTGAGAAAAAATTAAAAGACATTAAGGTAAAAATAATATGGTTTTCAAGTAAAGATTAAAGCTGTTGATAATAAATTTAAAAGGTGTTGAGAATAAGATTAAAGCTGTTGAGAACAAGATTAAAAGGTGTTGAACTAATATTAAAGTTGCTAAGAACAATATTAAATGGTGTTGAAAAAAAGATTAAAGGTGTTAAAAAAATAAATAAAGGTGTTGAAAACAAGATTAAAAGTGTTAAGAAAAATATTAAAATGTGTTGAGAATAAGATTAAAGGTATTGAGAAAAAAGATTAAAGGTGTTAAAAATAAGATTAAATGTATTGAGAATAAGATTAAAATGTGTTGAGAAAAAAATTAAAAACTGTTGAGAACAAAATTAAAGGTGTTAAGAATAAAATTAAAATGTGTTAAGAAAAAATTAAAAGGTGTTGAGAAAACTATTAAATCGTTATTCTCAACACCTTTCATCTTGTTCTCAACACCTTTAATCTTGTTCGCAATACTTTTTAATCTTTTTCTCAATACCTTTAAATCTTGTTCTCAATACATTTAATCTTATTCTTAACACCTTTAATATTTTTCTCAAACACTTTTAATCTTGTTTTCAACACCTTTTAATCTTTTCTTCAACACTTTTAATCTTGTTTTCAACAGCTTTATTCTTTTTCTCAACACCTTTATTCTTTTTCTCAA